AGAGTAATATTCAATATAATCAGTGATAGAGGAAAAGGGGAAATTGGATTTAAGATTTTTTCTTAATTTGAAAAAATAGAGAGAGAGAGAGAGAGAGAGCAGAAGCAGATGCAGATCTCTACTTTCACTCTTAACTATTAAAAAACAATAAAAGTAATGCATCTGCTCGTAATTCTTTGTGACTCTTTTAAGATATTTGGTAAACTATCTTCTCTGCAGATTATTTGTTGATTCTAAGCAAGTATAACATATTATCATCCTCTTCTGAATCACAAGAGGATGCTTACATGAATTAGAAATGACATGTTTATTATAATTTTTTCACCATTTTTGTAATTCATTTTTTCACTAATTACAGGTACCAACGGCGCCAGGGTAACAACACGTTCACCGTCGCCAACCGAGCGTTTATTCACAACAATCTTCCTATCCGACCGTGCATATCCGAATTACTCAAGAGAGAAGTTGAAAGAGTTAACTTCCTTGAGGTAAGATATCCTTTTACAGGAATGTGTAAAAATAATAATAATAATGATAATAATTAAAAGTTAATAACGCACACGTGAACAGAATCTACATGGCTTGGAGAAAATATCACTTTCCTGTTCAGTCTTCACCAATTTCTAAATAATTTCACCTTTGAAGCGCTTCTACTCAAACGCTGGTGATATTTTTCGTTGTTTACGTGAATATTTTGGGGCTTGGTTGTGGAAAAGTACCTCTTGGTCACGGGAAATTCCCTTGCTGTTAAAAAAAGAAATAGATTTTCTTTGAGCCAAACCGATTTCTGTGCATAACTTCTATGGTAAGTATCGGTAGCAATTGCTTGTCTTCCTTCACAAATCAAGCAACACCAACGATACCGACACATCAGCATGAAGGTGTCTATGGATTGATTTATTATTTATTTATTATTATTATTTGTGTATGTGTGTGAAATTAAAGGTCATTCCTCACTTATTGGTGTTATGACATAGAATAAGACATTGTCAAGCTGCGACTTTAAAGTACTTCTTGTAACTGACAGATATAGCCCGCTCTCCTTTTAGTCCGTTTGTAGACTTTCACCTTCATGAGATCAGCTGGATTATCAGCCAGTTGTGTGGGTACTTTGTTTACTTCTTTAAGTCCCTTCCCCGTGACCACAACCGCCTCCATCAACATTCAATGATAAAAAGTAAGATAGAGAACAAACCAAAATATGGTCAACCAACCTCGAAATTCCATCCGACAGACCCTTCCCCTGGTCGCCCACGTCAACAACTTCGCCTCCGCTTCAACCAAGGGCAGGATCACCGAGATTGTGTCTCCAGACGACTTGAGAAACGCCCTGATGGTGCTCGTTAACGCCGCCTACTTCAAGGGCACGTGGCAGTACTTCTTCAGCGCCAAGGCCACCAGACCTAGGGAGTTCTACGTCACTCCCGGAGTCCCCATCACGACCCCTATGATGAAACAGACCGCGTCCCTTAGATATGGTAAAGAGTCTTGTGGAAGTGCTAATGGATTAGTAAATGGATAGATTCGTATGAGAGAAAATGTTCAGTTAGATAAGTGTATTGATATTTTTCATTCATTCAGTTATTTCAAAGCACAACCTGTTTCTTGTTGTACTTCACCTTTCTTTTCCAAGTTTGGAATTCATGTCATGGGTAATTGAAACATCTTTCCCCTTTTTCAGCATTTTACCATCATTATTCCTCCTTCCGTTTCCTATGTTCAGGAAAAACCGACAGCGATTTTTTTCTTTATCTTTTACCCTAAACGACGTCTTCCTTTACAGGCGAGTTCGACCACATCGCCGCAAGGGTCCTGGAACTGCCCTACGCCGACGGTGCCATGTCCATGGTCCTCTTGCTTCCGATGGAGGAAGGGACTCAGGGCTTCGCTAACATGGTGTCAAAGCTGAACCAAAACAACCTGCGAGCCGTGACCCTCGAGAAGAACTTGGTCAAGAAGAATGTCGATCTGCTTTTGCCGAAATTCAAGCTTGAGCAAACCGTGTCCGAGAGTCTGATCCCGGTGAGTTGAATCGGATTGATGTGCTTGAGAGATGGATTTCTTGCTTTGTAATATCTAATTCAGTATCATTCAGTAATGCTCCAGAAGCACAAGTTTGAATAGTAGTATTCGTAGTAGTAGCATTAGCAAAAGCAGCGGTAGTAGAAGTAGTGGCAGTAGAAAGAGTAATAGTAGTCGTGCTAGAAGTAGTAGTAGTAGTAGTAGTGTAGTAGTAGTAGAATAGAGTATAAGTAAAACAGAAGTATTAGGGGTTGTATAGAAGATAATATCAGAGCTTCAGTGTGATGTCAGATTCACTGCATGAAGCCTGACTAGTCCGGAAACGAGATTATGCAGAATCTGGCGTTTGTTGTCAGCTTGGCAAATACAGTTAATCCGTTTTGTCATTTTTCATATGGTGCCTCAATAGCAAATGTTCAGCTCCTGCAATTGATAACGATCTGATTCCCAAATATTCTACCCACCATAACGAAGCAAAACTCTTCTCCAACAGGCTCTTCAGAACTTGGGGATCAGGATATCTTTGACAGCAGGAAAGTGGACTTGACAGGTTTTGGACCTCTGCGAAACATCACCGTCGACAAGGTCATACACAAGGCCTTCGTGGAGGTGAACGAAGAGGGCACAGAGGCTGCTGCAGTAACGGCAGCCATCTTCGTGTTCAAGTCCGCTTCGAGCAGTCGAGACGACCTGCCTGTTCGATTCTACTGCAACCGCCCCTTCGTGTTCCTCATCCAGGACAACGAGACCCAAAACATTCTCTTCATGGGAGCCTTTAAGAGACCGCAAGGAAGTGCTCAGTGAGGAAGAGATCCTTTGGGCGGCAACTGGCTGGTTTACGGAAGTAATTGTTGTTCAAACGACGCGAAGTTTGGAAGTTGAAAAGAAAATGGGAGTAGGACAAGAATATATTTTAGAAGAAAACGGAGTCGGTGCCTGGACTGGCGTGCACACTATCTCGTTGGAAGGTTATTTAGTGTCATTTTATGCATCATTTTAGTCTTTGTAGTTTTATTCATTTTCACTTTTCCTTTTCATTTTATTTGTGTTCACGTTTCTCAGGACATGTCTCTGTCTCGTATTTATTGTATTTTTGTTGTATTGCAAAATATTGTTAATGAAATCATCACAATAGTATAATGATTATTTCTGCCCTATATCATCGACTTTGAGCAACTGATTATGAATAGATTTGTAAAATAGATATGATCATGGAAATCATTATAATTAAAATGACATTAATAATAATAATAATAAGACCAATTATTATTCTGATAATAACAACGATGACAAACCCAGCAACACAATATTCATGATGATAATAACCATTTATTATATTACACATATATTACACTAGCTATGATCTCAGACATTTTTTCCAGAGGTGTCAATAGTTTACAGTAATATTGAAAGAGGAAAGAGATTTGTGTATAATAAGAAAAAATGTGTATAATAAGAAAAAAATGATGTGTATACCAGAATATACAGACTAGTCCTTTTCTTTTGTATTGGCGCAAGGTTACAAAAACCTCTATGAGATTTAATTAGAATATAACATTCATGCTACGGTTCTGCACTCCTAACACTTACATTACCGTAAAGGGGACCAAGAAAAAGGTTGAACTTAGGAAAAGCAACATAAGCACATGAGGCGTATGTTGCTTAATGGAGCCCTCTTGTTTTGCAGATCGAGAAAAGAATCCTGGAAAATAAGAAACCGAAGGTACTGGGGAGAAAAATAAAAGTGCCAATAGAATTTACGTTTATTCAGGAGTGATTCTGTTGAGAGGCTTCAAAACCATCTTTTATTTCTATGGGATAAGATTAATGTGTCTTCGGCGTTCCTGAAACGAAGCTGAATTAGGCAATCTTTCCATAGTGGAGCATTTTGCCGGTTTTTATATTTAAATTCTTCGTAACACTAAACACTTCTACTGATCTCAGTCGCCCTCTTCCTTCCACACACTAAACATATCTCTTCAAACCTCGAAACATCTCGATTATCCATTGCACAGTCGTCCTTCACTCCTGTTTTTTACACTCGCAGGCCTTCAAGCAGCCGTTGCAGGATCCTTGTAAGCCCCCATGAAGAGGATGCTGCGCGTGCCGTTGTCCCTGATGAGGAAGAGGAACGGGCGGTTGCAGTGGAAACGGATCGGCTGGATGAAGGACCTGACGGGCGCGATGAGCGCGGTCACCGCAGCGGCCTCCGTTCCCTCCTCGTTCACCTCGACGAAGGCCTTGTGGATGACCGTCTCCACGGCTACCTCGCGCAGAGGCCCGAGCGTAGTAAAGTTGGCTTTGTCGAAGGAAAAGATGTCAATGATTCCGGTATTCATGAGAGCCTGCGGAAGGGACGGTGTTTTTAGACATACCCCCACTTGAACAAGTCGATGTTTCATCAACTTGACAGATAAATTGAAAGGAATATCGGTTAAATACCTATCAGTTTATGAGAAGTTTCTGAGCTTCTCGTATCTATCTTGAGCACAGTGTAGTGATAGCATAAAATCGCCACGTCTAAAAATGTCTCACCAAATGGCGAATATGAACAAATCAGAATACCTACTGGAATAAGACCCTTCACTTTCACGTCCAGCTTGAACTTGGGCAGCTGCAACTCTACCAGTCGACTGGTGAGGAACTCCGCGTCGGTAGCTGCCCTCACGTTGTTTCCGCCGAGTCGAGAGACCATTTTGGCGAAGCCGCCGGGCCCATCCTCAGAGGGAAGGAAAATGAACATGGACATTGCTTTGCCCTTGTAAGGCAGCTCCAGGACCCTCGCCGCAATCTGGCTGCTGAAGTCGCTGCCAGACATGTGGAAATGGAGACATGTGCATGTGCATATAATTAGCCTTACTCACTATACTTTATGTAGTATAATGAGAAGGCTAAAATAATTATTGTCAGTGGCCTCATGCTATGAGATCAATTAATATCTGTCTCTCTGTCGAACATGTCTTGATTTTCTTTTTCTTATCGCGTTCCCCTTCATGTCTCCATTTCCACACGCAGGCGACTTCAGCAGCCAGATCGCGGCGAGGGTCCTGGAGCTGCCTTACAAGGGCAAAGCAATGTCCATGTTCATTTTCCTTCCCTCTGAGGATGGGCCCGGCGGCTTCGCCAAAATGGTCTCTCAACTCAGCGGAAACAACGTGAGGGCAGCTACCAACGGGGAGTTACTCAACAGTCGACTGGTAGAGTTGCAGCTGCCCAAGTTCAAGCTGGACGTGAAAGTGAAGGGTCTTATTCCAGTAGGTATTCTGATTTGTTCATATTCGCCATTTGGTGAGACATTTTTAGACGTGGCGACTTTATGCTATCACTACACTGTGCTCAAGATAGATACGAGAAGCTCAGAAACTTCTCATAAACTGATAATTTAACCGATATTCCTTTCAATTTATCTGTTAAGTTCATGAAACATCGACTTGTTCAAGTGAGGGTATGTCTAAAAACGCCGTCCCTTCCGCAGGCTCTCATGAATACCGGAATCATTGACATCTTTTCCTTCGACAAAGCCAACTTTACTACGCTCGGGCCTCTGCGCGAGGTAGCCGTGGAGACGGTCATCCACAAGGCCTTCGTCGAGGTGAACGAGGAGGGAACGGAGGCCGCTGCGGTGACCGCGCTCATCGCGCCCGTCAGGTCCTTCATCCAGCCGATCCGTTTCCACTGCAACCGCCCGTTCCTCTTCCTCATCAGGGACAAAGACACGCACAGCATCCTCTTCATGGGGGCTTACAAGGATCCTGCAACGGCTGCTTGAAGGCCTGCGAGTGTAAAAAACAGGAGTAAAGGACGACTGTGCAATGGTGGCGGATAATCGAGATGTTTCGAGGTTTGAAGAGAGTTTATGTGTGGTGGGATACTGAGAGTAGAAGTGTTAGTGTACGAAGAATTTAAATATAAAAACCGGCAAAATGCTCCACTATGGAAAGATTGCCTAATTCAGCTTCGTTTCAGGAACGCCGAAGACACATTAATCTTATCCCATAGAAATAAAAGATGGTTTTGAAGCCTCTCAACAGAATCACTCCTGAATAAACGTAAATTCTATTGGCACTTTTATTTTTCTCCCCAGTACCTTCGGTTTCTTATTTTCCAGGATTCTTTTCTCGATCTGCAAAACAAGAGGGCTCCATTAAGCAACATACGCCTCATGTGCTTATGTTGCTTTTCCTAAGTTCAACCTTTTTTTTTGGTCTCCTTTACGGTAATGTAAATGTTAGGAGTGCAGAACCGTAGCATGAATGTTATATTCTAATTAAATCTCATAAGGGGTTTTGTAACATTGCGCCAATACAAAAGAAAAGGACTAGTCTGTATATTCTGATATAACATCAATTTGTTTCTTATTATACACATTTTTTCTTATTATACACAAATCTCTTTCCTCTTTCAGTATTACTGTAAACTACTGACACTCTTGGAAAAAATGTCTGAGATCATAGCTAGTGTGATACATGAGTAATCTAATAAATTGTTATTATCATCATGAATATTGTGTTGCTGGATTTGTCATCGTTGTTATTAATGTTATTATCAGTATAATAATTGTTCTTATCATTATTATTATTAATGTCATTTTGATTATAATGATTTTCGTGATCATAACTATTTTACAAGTCTATTCATAATCAGTTGCTCAAAAATCGATGATGTAGGGCAGAAATAATCATTATACTTTGGTGATGATTTCATTAACAATATTTTTCAATACAACAAAAATACAATAAATACGAAACAGAGACATGTCCTGAGAAACGTGAACACAAATAAAATGAAAAGAAGGAATAGTGAAAATGAATAAAACTACAAAGACTAAAATAATGCATAAAATGACACGAAATAACCTTCCAACGAGATAGTGTGCACGCCAGTCCAGGCACCGACTCCGTTTTCTTCTAAAATGGATTCTTGTCCTACTCCTCCCATTTTCTTTCATTTCCCAAACTTCGCATCGTTTGAACAGCAATTACTTCCGTAAACCGGCCAGTTGCCGCCCAAAGGATCTCTTCCTCACTGAGCACTTCCTTGCGGTCTCTTAAAGGCTCCCATGAAGAGGATGTTTTGGGTCTCGTTGTCCTGGATTAGGAACACGAAGGGGCGGTTGCAGTAGAATTGAACAGGCAGGTCGTCTCGACTGCTCGAAGCGGACTTGAACACGAGGATGGCCGCCGTTACTGCAGCAGCCTCTGTGCCCTCTTCGTTCACCTCCACGAAGGCCTTGTGTATGACCTTGTCGACGGTGATGTTTCGCAGAGGTCCAAAACCTGTCAAGTCCACTTTCCTGCTGTCAAAGATATCCCTGATCCCCAAGTTCTGAAGAGCCTGTTGGAGAAGAGTTTTGCTTCGTTATGGTGGGTAGAATATTTGGGAATCAGATCGTTATCAATTGCAGGAGCTGAACATTTGCTATTGAGGCACCATATGAAAAATGACAAAACGGATTAACTGTATTTGCCAAGCTGACAACAAAACGCCAGATTCTGCATAATCTCGTTTCCGGACTAGTCAGGCTTCATGCAGTGAATCTGACATCACACTGAAGCTCTGATATTATCACTTCTATACAACCCCTAATACTTCTGTTTTACTTATACGTCTATTCTACTACTACTACACTACTACTACTACTACTTCTACCACGATTACTATTACTCTTTCTACTGCCACTACTTCTACTACCGCTGCTTTTGCTAATGCTACTACTACGAATACTACTATTCAAACTTGTGCTTCTGGAGCATTACTGAATGATACTGAATTAGATATTACAAAGCAAGAAATCCATCTCTCAAGCACATCAATCCGATTCAACTCACCGGGATCAGACTCTCGGACACGGTTTGCTCAAGCTTGAATTTCGGCAAAAGCAGATCGACATTCTTCTTGACCAAGTTCTTCTCGAGGGTCACGGCTCGCAGGTTGTTTTGGTTCAGCTTTGACACCATGTTAGCGAAGCCCTGAGTCCCTTCCTCCATCGGAAGCAAGAGGACCATGGACATGGCACCGTCGGCGTAGGGCAGTTCCAGGACCCTTGCGGCGATGTGGTCGAACTCGCCTATAAAGGAAGACGTCGTTTAGGGTAAAAGATAAAAAGAAAATCGCTGTCGGTTTTTTTTTCATGAAGTTAGGAAACGGAAGGAGGAATTGTGATGGTGAAAATGCTAAAAAAGGGGAAAGATGTTTCAATTACCCATGACATGAAAACCAAACAAGAAACAAGTTGTGCTTTGAAATAACTGAATGAATGAAAAATATCAATACACATCTAACTGAACATTTTCTCTCATACGAATCTATCCATTTACTAATCCATTAGCACTTCCACAAGACTCTTTACCATATCTAAGGGACGCGGTCTGTTTCATCATAGGGGTCGTGATGGGGACTCCGGGAGTGACGTAGAACTCCCTAGGTCTGGTGGCCTTGGCGCTGAAGAAGTACTGCCACGTGCCCTTGAAGTAGGCGGCGTTAACG